AAAACCGTTATGAAAACTTGACTTCCTATATACCATTTGATGTATCTCAACGAGCTCTACAATACTGTATAAAAATGAAATCGATTCAAGAAAATTTTTTTATCCGGCGGGGTCCTTTTAATGATATATATGTACGATTCATTTACAATATTTCGGTTTTCTATTTGCATTCATTTTCAATTTTGTTTTCCATCAATCGATTAAAAATTTCGATCTAAACATATTGGATTTCATTATATCAATTTTATTATTACCTTGAAAGGAAATAAAGCATGAAGTATTTGCATACGAATCAGAACCGAGCAACGGTGAAATTGACTTAATAATTGAATCGCACTTGATATAACATGATAGTGCAACAGATTTTCTTTGTTTCGTTGTTGATTTTTGATATTGAATAGAGTTGTTCATATATTGTTACTTTGAACAGCGATTTCCCCATGAAATATTAAAGATAATACCTAAGAAAAATATATTAAAATATTTACATTTTTTTGAGCATCAACCATCAATGCTCACAATACAATGAATACATCATCCTAAAAGAAAGAAATTTTATTAAGAAAAATGTTTCATTAATCACATCGAAATTTAGTTGAAAAATAAGTCATAAACGTTGAGCAATTTTTGTATACATGTAAAATATATCATGTAGAAAATAAATCATTATATTTTTTTAATAAGAATAGTTTTAAAATAAATCAAATTTATGTTTTCTCAGTGAAATTATTCAAAAGTCAAACTTGAACATTTAAGATTACAGAATTTATTATTATACTTACGAAAGAAGCAATTGTAATTAATCTCTACTAAAATGGCAAGAAAAATACTATTCTTACTTCACTTGATCATCATCATCAGTAATTGTATTTCTTCAAGTCTATTGTGTGATGAAAATAATATATTACGACCAGAATTATTCGTGACAAAAACTGTTGTTAATGCATATACGATGTAGCACTATTTTGAATAATATATTTATAAAACCATAAATTTCTGAATCGATCAAAAGATGTTATAGTTTCTGGATTCAACATAAATTATATTTCTACTTGTAATTGTGATAAAAGTATTGCAATATTCATTTGATTCTAATAATTTTGATTGACAAAGGTGAAGATTGTTCGACATTTAAATGTATAATCGATTGTTAATTTTTGTTTAATAAATGAATGTAAAACCGTAGAATAATATTCAAACTAAAAATAAAGAAAATCAACTATGAGAAAAACTTTTTTTGTTTTTATGAATTCATTGTTCCATAATATAATGATGTTAGAAGATACTGAAAACGATAAAAAAAATTGCTATTATAATGGATTTCGATAACCATTCGATGTTGTTGAACTGATTGATGAAATAGATCGAGTACTTGTTGATGTATCATTAAAATTATCAAAAATTTGTTCTTTTCGAGCATCTAAATGTGAAAATTTTCAAAATAAAATTATAATTGTTATTTATTTTATCTCATACATGAATTCAAATTGTATTTTGAACAGAAACAATCTGATCACTGATTTGCATTCATGGTTTCTATAAAGAAAAAAAACGTGTTAGTCTATTTCTTCATTTAAATAAAACAAAAGAAATATTTTACCCTGCATAGTGTAAACAAGTTCACGTACTATAATAAATGAATAGACTAATCGTTCTTTCATTCCGCACAGGTGCAGCTGAAACACAAACGATCAATTAGTCGCGAGTGCGTCAATATGTTTCTGTATGACATAATTGATTTATCTCGATGATGACTACTAATTGTAACACAGTCACATCGTTGATCAATCATCCAAAGTACAATTGATATTAGCTATCAATTGTACATCTGAATTCACCAAAAAAACAACTATAAATAGTTACAATTTTCAACGTAAAGTATCATTCCCCCTTTTCTTCTTCTTATATTGTAATATTATGTATATATTTTTTATTTTTTTAACTATTTTAGCTTGTATTCATATTATCAATATCACGGGTAAGTAGTTTTAGTTAAAATTTTTTTCATTGTCTCAGCCTTTTACCCCATTTATTTTAGTTTTATATGATAACAATAGTTTTTTATTATTTTCGTTTTAGCTAATAAATTTTCTATTTTCTATTTTAGTAATATAAACAAGGTAAGTATTCTTTTGTATATATTTCCTATGTCCTACCGGGGAGAAGACCTTCCATATATCCGCGTGAAACTGGCCAAGGCTACTTTGGTACCCAGAGCACGTATAGGGCGCTATATAGTTCTCTCTGATGTATGTTCTATACACGTTAGTTCTATGTCTGTGTGTGAAGAGGCTCGCCACTCTATGGCACCACCAAGGTAGTTCTTGGTCGCGCGAGCAACTATTAACTGGTAAGCAAAAATTTTCATTCCAATCAATTCTTATTTTCTTATTTCGTTTTCGTTCATTTCAATTTCATCATCCATCAAGTATAATATTGCTTTTCGATTCTTTTAGTTCAACTTCAAACGGAACAACACAAAATTGAAGTAATTATCTCATTCCAATAAATAAAATTATTTGCTATTTTCATATTTTAGTTCCGAACAATTCAATAAAAACTAAAATAAATGGAAATACATAGTATTCTCGTGTAGTTTTTTTATTTTATTGTAACTTTTTATTTTCCACTTAAATCTTAAATATTTTATTTAAATAATACGAATTTTTTTTCATTTAAATAATTCAAATTTTCATTTCAGGAATAAAATATTTTCGAAGTAACAAATTAATTTTCAGGTCAAGAATAAATATTTTGTGAAAGAAAACAACTTCTTTTATTTAATTCATTTCTTTGCATTTAACAAATAAATAAAAGATCAAGAAAAGAAACACATGATGTAATCTTATATTTAGCTTTTTTCTTTTCGTTGAAGGAAAGGGTAAAAGGAAAATTGCTTTTTTCTGTTCATCCATTTCAAGGTATGGAAAAAGAAACGAGAAAAGAAAAAACAATTCACAAGTCTTATCCGATAGAAAATCTTTGAACACGACAATTACTTTGATCGGCGACATAGAGATTACCATGCCGATCGAAAGACAAGCCAATGGGGTAGTCGAACTGATTTGCTCCTGCTCCTTGACCATTTCCACCCGCAATTACAGTGCCTTGTGTCGCTCCTTGAGTCCAACGTATTACACGATGATTGTAGCAGTCTGCTACATAGAGTGTACCCAACGTATCAACGAAGAGTCCTTCGGGGCGATAAAATTGTGTCGGAGCATTTCCTTGGCCTTGTCCTCCAGCGACCACAATACCTACCGTTGCACCTTTATTCCACTTCATTACACGATTATTCGAGTAGTCTGATACGTACACTGAATGATCTCGACCGATAAAGAGATATGTCGGCAAGTTGAGCTGATTGAGTCCACCACCTTGTCCATTACCACCAGCTACGAGAGTGCCATTCGTCTTACCCAATTGATATCGTCCTACTTCATGTTTTACGTAGTCAGAGACGTAGAGATATCTCTGTTCATCCATTGCTAATCCATAGCAAGCGATGTTAACGATGAGTATTTCTCTTTGTGTTGTGCCACGACCACGAGACCATCGTACAACTCGTTTATTCCCCCAGTCACAAATAATGGCACTATCCGTCTCATTGTCGATTAATACATCACTTGGCTTATTCAGTTGATTCAATCCATTTCCTTGGCCATTGTCACCAGCAACAACTAGTCCATTCGTTCTATCACCGTTCTTCCATTGGATGATACGATTATTCCAGAAGTCAGCAATAACCACTGTTTGATTATCATCAATGACGAGACCAAAAGGGTAGTAGAGCTGATTAGTGCCACCCCCTAGCCCGTTACCTCCAGCAATAGTCACTCCGTTCCGTGACCATGTAGCATTAGCAGGAATATTAACTAGAAGAGAAAACATAAGAATAAAAGGAGATCTCTCTCTCTATCGCGCTGAAGTGTGGGTGTGATTCTTCTGCTAATCTATACCCACACCCAATCATGGAGATAATTAATCGATCAATCGAAATCGACCCNGTTTTCTCAGTGATGAATTGGATTATGGCTATACAAAAACTATTTAATACCTATCAATTGAAGATTTTTCGTACGATATACGGATTCTTGCTTCGCATCGCATTTCGTGTACGAGGGAAACTCGAATACCATCTAGTTTCAGTTCTTCATTTACGGATCACCAACACTGTTTTTTAGGAGAAAACAACCTGATCGGTAGAAGAACACTTTGACTACTTCTGAAATTCAATCACAGACCATTATAGCTTTCAGAATCATACCCAATTTCATCAAGTAAGTTATGAAATTACTTCAATTGCTTTAAAGAGAAAATAGTAGACCACGTTTTTTTCCAGTTATAACTGATTCTCCTGATTTCATACTAATACACTTTTCTTACAAGCGACGTCCGTCCTTATATGCAAAGGAAAAAGTAGTTAAAGCGCGAAAGACAATCTGATGATTCTTAGGAGAAACTTGCATTATGAGAGTAAAAGTAGAATTAATTTCATAGATGAATTGATGAAGAACCCAATACAACACAACATTTCGCACAAAACAAGCATGCAAAAGCAAAATATTTCTGCTTCTACGAGACCGATACCGTACCTGTGCGTATATCTTCGGGTGCCGATTCCGTGCAGGTATAACCAACTGTACAGCTGCATTTTACTGCATTTGTCGTGGCATTATATGAGCAAGTGGCGTTTGAACTACAATTTCCATTGTTGTCACTGCAGCCGCCTAAAATAGAATAGTTGTTATGATGGTGTTGGCGTGAGTGCCTGTGCGGATTCCAATGTGGACAAGGCTAGTATCGTTCTCTGCTAGTCGACACGCCAACGTACCGAATGACAAACAGGGGATGATAACTCAATTTTGGAGAGAGTCAGAATTGCGTGTAATTTCCTGTAAGTCCTGTTCGTCCGAGTTCCTGAAATGCTAGAAATTTGATAGAATGGGTTCTGTGCGTGTGACTGGTTTCGCAATTTTCAATATCGCGCCAAAGGGCGTATTCTCGCTAGATTGAAAGTGATACTGTTTGCTAGAAAATTCGTTGTCGTATCATTAAAAACAAAGTGTCAAGGAAAACCCATGCTACTGTATGCATCTGTTGCACAAGTGTCATTCGTAAATCTGCAACTTAATGGAATTGATGTGAGTCGTCATGTGGCAATAGGTTGCAATGGCTAAGATTGAAATTATTGTAGAATATTTCACTTGCAAAAGTTGACAACATCATAGATAGAAGCAGCAGTATCAACATACGCTTGGTTCTTTTCTCAAGCATACAGAAATGAATTTCGTTGAAAAATTCATCAGAAAAAGGAAAGTGAAAGTATTTTTGGGATTGCATGAACAAATGTGATTGGTGAACCTTATATTATCAACTCGGGTTTTCTTAGATGACATTAAAGTGTCGCAAAACTATAACGAAAATAAAAGAACTGGGCGATAGTTCTTATTTTGTTTACGAAACAGGTTGAGTCATCTAGATCAACCAATCTGCTAGAAGTGTAGCTGTCACAACATGTCTTCATTATGCAGCAGAATATCAAAGGTCTATAAGATTTAATCTATAAACTTACTGTGTTCAAATCCGGCACTAGTACATATGGTCGCACGACACTTCGACGCGTTCACTTCGTCGCAGAACAATTTTCTTTCATTCTGTTCATCTCTATATACTTGCCAACTCTCTCTCTTAATAATTTTTTTTTTATAACTGATGGAAATAACATAAAGGAAATGAAAAATTACGAAAGATATGTACAGTAGCGATAGATATTTAATTGAAAAAACGGACCAATAAAAAATATTGTTGTAATGTAGTCATAATAGAGCTAAAACGAACCCAAAATAATTTGATTTGTAACTCGGGTAATGAATTTCAACATAATCTCAACTAAAGATAACACTAATCCAATGTCCTTAATTATGTGACCAAGTAAAATAAAAATGAAAAACATTTCACTTTACAATTTCAACGTTTACTACACAATGCTTTTCAAGCAAAATGTCTCAAATCGAGCAACCCTCTTCTGTAAAAGGAAAACCAGTGATTCTTCATGAAGGTTATGTCTATACTGTAGAACGTACAACAAGGACGAAATCAATCTTTCGATGTAAGAATCGAGATTTTAACCCTAACACGACCACCTTAAGAACTACCACTTGTTGACTACCTGGGGTCCGTATGGACCCCATAGGAACAGAATTGACATAATGGAAGGAATCAGTATTATACTTTGTTGGTACTCTTTAGTCTATGATATAGACTCTATTGAATAAATAGCTGTTAGACAAGTAACCCAATTTTATTGTTTTATTCACAAATTTTGTAAAATTTTTCTTTTCCTCAGAGTTTTTAAAAATATTTTACAGTACTCAGAGCGCGTGATCTGATGATCACCTTGAAGTGAGAATGTGACCCTAGTCTCTAGCAGCAGGTGCATCAACAATCATATTCACATTGAAACGCGCTCCACAGATATATTCTCACTAAAACTGACTGCATATAAAAAAAACATTTCTAACTGTACGATAATACGTCATCGTATCCGCCTTTGGTTCGACATCTAAATGTCTATTGACCTCGAATTTTCTCAAATTAGACGTAACTTGTGTCAGATTTATTATCAAAATCGTTGTTAATTTCTATACCAGTCGTTGGGCCTTCAGAACTACCTTGTAAACTCCTTCCGCAATTCGAGCTCGTCTGTAAGATTGTTTCAAGCATGGTATGGGTTTTCATCTTCATTTTAGGATTCTCCACGTGTTTGAGTCTGCGCGTTGACTGATTTCTAATAAAACCGTTTATTATTGTGAAAATATGAATGTTGAAATAAGGTGGCATGTCATATAGTAACGCGTTATTCCCTACGCAAGTTTAGATAGCAGTTAGAGAATGGAATGCAAATTGAGTAACATATAATATATTATCAAAGACGATGCACAAATATTTATTTAATCAACACGATGCTCGAGAAAGAAGAGGAGCGCTTTCGAAAATATGCTAAGATGAAAAATAAAACGTTTTTACTTGGTCTATTCGCTAAACAGCTGATTCGGACGTTTGAAAATAGTTTACAAGAAAAGAAAGTAGAAACATGGAAAGTAAAATCAGAAAAGTTAGAACCAAAAAGTAAGCAAAAATCAGTCTATTGATATGGGGTCCAGGCGGACCCCAGGTAGTTGACAAGCGTTTATGTATACTTCAGGATAGTATATCTCATAAACCACGAACAAAAATGAACTGCTGATGCTATTGACATAGTCTATTACTCTTCAGTAGATCATATCTAGAATCTAGTGATTTGATATTAGATGGTGTGAGTGCAGCATAAACAAGAAGTTCACTGGGGTCCGCGCGGACTCCAGGTGATCGTGTCAGGGTTAAAGGTAAGTACGCTTTGAACATCAATCAATTAATTCAAATGAAAATCATTTATCAATTAAGCTCGATGTCATACCAATTTATCCATAGACACACTTCTCTTACTGCTAACATCACATTGTCATGCTCCACAACCTGATAGTGTTCCAGCTATCCAATTAAAAAACGAAATTAAAGCGCATGCTGCAATAACAGATGAATCAACCAGTACAATTATTCATTCGGCCTTACGTACCTATTCACTCAGTGCTGCTGGTCAACTTCCAAAAATGAATCACTTATGCTAATGATTCAACGACAGCGTACTACTGAAACAGTTGATGCCGATGGTCGTCTACCAGACAAATTCAGAAAAACATATCGTGACGAAGGCTTCATCTTGCACGAAGACAAAAAATTAATTATCTTTACAAAGAAAACAAAGTTATCTATTCTGAAGCAAAACAAACATTGGTTCGCTGATGGAACGTTCAAAGTAAATTATCAATCATATTTATCCTTTTCTTTTCCAATTTTCATTCATATAGGTGTGTCTCGACGATTATTACCAACTCTTCACATTACATGCGATGATGACCAATGGAATTACTCCCGTCTATGGGTTATTAATTGGTAAAAGCGCTGAAGATTATAATTTATTCATCGAAAAAGTGTTAGAACAGGACAACTTTCAACCTGAACCAATCATGACTGATTTCGAAACTGACACAATCAAGTCAGTCAAAGATATGTGGCCAAATATTTTACACAAAGGTACGTTCTAGTTTATGAAAAAAAGTAATTGAAACATTTTTTTTATAGGATGTCTCTTTCATTTTTCACAAGCGGTGTGTCGACAAGTTCAAAGCAAAGGATTAACGACCAAATATAATGAGGATGAGTCTTTTCGTTTAAATGTAAAACAATTATTTTCTCTTGCTTTTGTTCCACTAGATCAAATTATAATCGGCTTCGACTTAATTTGTGATCAATTCGACGATGACGCCGACGATTTACTGGAGGATTTTGAAAAAACATGCATTGGTGAACCGAAAAGAAGAGATAACGTTTTTTTCCCTATTTTTAAGAAATTTCAAATATAATTGTCTTTCTTAGGAACTGGTCGAAAGAAGCCACAATTCGATCATAAATTATGGAAGATTCCTGATCGTGTCGTCGTTACTGTACCCCGACCAAATAATTCGGTTGAAGGCTGGCACAATGCTTTCGCTAATCGAGTCACAATAAGTCATCCGGCTATCGTAAAACTGGGAAAGAAAATTTGTCGTAAACAATCAAAATTTGAAGTGGACATGACGAAGATTCTTCAAGGCCACGATATTAAGACGAAGAAAGCCTGCTATCGAAAGTTGGACGAGCGTATTACTCGACTGGCCAACTCATTCGACCCAACTCCACTGGATCAATTTAAAAAAAATATGGCAGCTAATATTACTCTTTGGGTATTTTGTTTTCTTTAAATTACCTTCTCTCTTTAAATTATTGTTTTTCTTTAGATTATTTTCTTTTCTTCTTTTTTTCTCAATTAGTTCATTATTATGTTATGTATTATTCACAAAATAAACAAATATTAACTCGTCAATTCTTATCTTTTAATAAAAAAAAGAACTAATTAAGAGAGAAGATGCAATGAATGGATAGAGCTGAGCATAGCGAAAGAAATTTATCTGTGACGAAGTGAACGCAACGAAATATCGTGCAACGATGTGTGCGGTCACCGTAACGGTCTGCGATGGGAAAATGAGGGGTGGACAACATCCCGTAAAATTGCGAAATGGTTCAATAACTAGCAGAAATACTTTACCCCTAACAAAGCCAAGGAGAAATCGATCAATTATCTACAGAAAGCATTTATTTTTGTAGAACTCACATATATTTTCGAAGGGAATGGTGAGTGTAAGTTTAAAAGCGAGATTCATGCGGCTCCCCTATCCCCTCCCCATTACAAATATTAATGAGTTTGAAATTGTGCTAATTAGAAGCATCAATAATTAGGCTGCTATTTCTTTCTTTTTTAATTACAGGCCATAGTAACTAGCTTATGGTACCATTACACGCCATAGAAACTAGTCTCTGCCATTGTTAAATATACAAGCTAACAATTAATATTCCATTACACACAAAAGCAAATAGGCAATAACCTAATTATAGGTTTTGGAAATCAAGGTAAATTTTTCAGATGAACTATTTTGAATTATTTCAGTAAGCCTAAAGGATATATGTGAGTTTCACATTTTAGCCCCGAAGGGGCTGCGCTAATAAGCTTTTTTTCACTATAAGGGAATTTCTCAAGGAGAAATGGATATTTTACAGTAGATGTGGTTTATTTACAAGCAGGAATATATGAACTATATCCCTCCATTCCAGCAGAAGTTAATAACAGACGAGGAGAAATCGATAAATTATCTACAGAAAACATTTATTGTTTTTCACTATAAAGGGATTTCTCTCGAAGAAATGAATGTTTTTAATAGAAATGGTTTCTTTTGAACGTGAAATGAATAAGCATATCACCATATATCAGGAACAGTCTATACTGTATATCGTGTTGCATGGTGAAAATTTGTTCTGATAGTCATATGTGGAATCTAACAGTTAATCTTATGTTGAGATTGTATTTTTATAAGTGAAAATGGAGGCGCTCTTGAGAAAAATCATTAGTAAGTGCGGAATAATTGCGGAGGGTAGAGTGTCTTGAAGCGGAAAATATGCAGTTGGTAATTGTCATGATTGTAGTATTAGTTTTCAGTGGAGTAATGCAGTTTCATGGAATAAGAAAATTCCTTCATTTGCAAGCTTTTTCATGCATATATTACGGTTACGAGTGCTATTAAAAAGGCTTTCTTTTGGTTGAAGTTAAGGATGGCGCGAATTTTTTATTTCTTACATGCTGCGCTGTTTTATTCAGGGCTTGTGAAGAAATAGTATTCAGTCTAAATTTTCTTTTCCTCGACTGAATGGAAATAGTGGTATAGGTAGTAGTATGGCAGAGGAAAAACGCGTTAAAACGGAAACAAAGAATTTACATTTATTTATAGAAAGGATAGAAGATAATATTGAAAGGCGTCTTTTCTTTATTTATAGTCATACGTATTGAATATCTCGATATGTGTTTAGAACGAAAACATGTTTATGTACGTGTATATCTTTGATCATCTTACATAAACAGAATGAAAGGAAAAGAAAAAGTTTTTGTCTTGACGACATTTTTCTGCTTGAGATTTCTTAGATTTGCTAAGAGTTCTTGAATTCTAAGCCGTAGTAAAACTATATACTATGATTTATAATTCAGCAGCAAACAAAAACTATCGTTACTACCATAATCATTTCAATCAACTTGAAATTGAAATAGCATTTAATTGTTTCAGAAATATTTAACTAAATTATAATCACATCAGTAAACTGTTAATCATCATTAGAAGAAGAATCTTGAATATATTTTCAAGCTAATTGATAAATTTTAAAAATAATCTTTCAAAACCAAACACAGGTTCAGCGTATTTTTTTTATATCATACAAAATTAAACGTTGTTTTCAAAGAGGATTTTCTGTGTTTCTGTATATAAAATAAAGATATAATTCAATCATTATCAGAGAGGTATTAATTGAAATAAAATATGAACGAGAATAAGAATTCGTTTAGTGAAATTTTTTTAAAATTTTATCATACTAGAAGCGAGGGAACCAAAACAATTTACCGAAGTAATATATTCTATTTACTAATAGAAAAACAATTTTTAAGTGTAAAATTGATTTCATATTTATTTTACTTCAAGATCAAAAAAATAAAATTTTCATGTTTCTTATCAATATTCTTGTATACCAACAGCTTCAAAAAATAAAACTTTATCGAATTGTAACTTATCTGTAGGCGTTCTTGTAGTTGGAAAATTTCAGAAGTATTTAAAAGTTATTTAAATGAAAGAAATTCTGCGTTTTCACTTATTCAAGTATTTTTATTGTTTTCTCCATCGTATTCCTAAAACATCTATGAAGCTCATTCTATTTAAAAATAATAATAAAACGCTCTATGTGGTCAGTTTCTAAGTGATTTTTAATCTGCGAGCTCGACATTTTAGCCCAAGCGGGGCTGTACTGAAAAGCTTTTTCTATGAGGGATCCATAAAAAATTAAAGTTATTCTGATCTAACTTTTCTTTACAAATATAAACCCTCATTATCCTTTAGATTCCTTTAGCCCTATTACTCCCCTTAGTCCTTTTAGTCCCTTTAGTCCTTTTGCTCCCTTTTGTTCCTTTACTCCCTTTAGCCCTTTTCCTCCCTTTAATCCTTCTACTCCTTTTAGTTCTTTTAGTCCCTCTGGCCATTTTAGTCCATTTTCTCCCTTTAGTCCTTATATTCCCTTTAGTTCTTTTAGTCCCTTTTGATCACTGTAGATCTAAAAAGGGATTCAAGAGGCTAAAAGGACTAAAATGATTTAAATGGACTGAAGTGATCTAAAGTGATCTAAAGGGATCAAAGGGATAAATATCGCACATATTTATAAAGGAAAGTTAGACCAGGATAAATTCAATTTCTTGTGGACGTATGACATTTATCAATATATATATGTGGCAGGCGAGTTTGGAATTCAGTTGAGTTTGGAATATTTTTTCTTCTTAATTTTTTTAATAGAATTTTTGTTGACACCTGACTTTAGAAATTTTTATATTGAGAAATATTCCTTGCATCTTTTTACAATGAGCTTTTATATAGTTCAACTCTCTCTGTATTTTTTAAGCTATGGGGACATGGGGACATTGAATTTATCCGAGAAAAATAAATTTTGTATTTATGTCTGATAAATTCACTCTCTCTGCATTTTTTTAAACTATGGGGATATGGGGACATTGAATTTATCTGAGAAATATTTCTTCTCTATTCTTTTTTTCTATAATCTATTATCACGAGCAGAAAAAAAAAGAAAAAAAAATATATTTTTTCGATTAATTATTTTTTTCGCGCATTCCAATCTCAACTGAAATTCTCATGTCAACTGTGACATATATATATTTGGATATAGATTCTTTATTTTCGATTTCTCCTTGTTGAAAGCATTTCCCTATATAAATATTAGACTTCTGCTTGAAACAATTCACTTTGAAAAATAGTGAATCCTAAAGATATATGTATACCGGGTGTTCCAAAAGTTCCTTTAAATAAAAAAATTTAATATCTTCAACGACCTTTCATCAAATGAGCTCATTTTTTTCCTGGTGGTGGAGAATACTTTGAAGTTTTTTTCATTGGAAAACTATGAATAAATACTGCTTTGAACTATCGCTTTTGACTTGAATATCGAAATGTACCGATTTTCGATTTTCCAAAAAGAACATTCAAAGGAAATTTCCCGAGATCATTAATTTCGGTCTGGAACTTTGACCAAACCAAGGTCTCGCTCAGACTAGCTTCTGTACGAAATTTCAGAATTTTCAGATATGGCTTTTCCGAGATATGAATTTTTCAAAATTTAGGCGCTGTTCCGTCGATATTGTGCAAAATTTGAAAAATTCATATCTCGGAACAACTACCCTGTCAAGTAATTAATGAAAAAACTAGGGTGATTCCGCCAGCTTCCTCCAGCGAGTTACGGTGACCATCTCCGAATTCGACGAAACTTGGAGGGCTTGTAGAGAATTTTACGCTGATCATTTCGCTATAAAAAAAAGTTCTGAACTTGACTGAAAAACAACAGAGAAATCGTAAAAGAGCAATGATTATGTTAAAGAAATACGAAACCAATGATACTATTCTTATGAAACGTAAGTGAATAAACTATTTCCAACAAAAATACACTCATCAATCAATTTTTTTTATATTGAAACTGTAGTAAACATTCAACCTGTTTGAAATGATAATTGTTAATGGAAGTGGCTATGTACACTCAGGTGCTCATAGACATGTAGCTATCTGCACTCGAATATACATAGCCAGTTGGCTATATACACTTAGGTGTACATAGTCGCATGGTTATGTGCACTCAAGTAATTACATTTAGCCGACTGACTATGTGCACTCAGAAGATAGAATGAATTTATTAAGAAATTTTAAGTTACTTTTAGCCTTGCATACTCATTATCATTAACAAGTAACGTTCATCGACATCGAAAATCGATTCACTGGGCCCTAGACTGACAGTGCTAAGGAGAAGAAATGCATGGATAGGACAGAAAATCGGTTGTCTGTGGCAGCAGCTGGTGGTCATATTTTTAAACAGATCAGCAAAGGGGGT